AGTCAATTTATCTCGTTTCTTGTGAAAGATATAAAAAAGTAACCAACTTATTAAATAATTGTTGATATCATGATAAACATTTTATCAGTTGACACCATTTTGATATCTTCTATAGGGGCCGAGAAAATTGAGCTCAAAGTTAAAAGATAGTCAGCGCCATTCTATTAGAGTGTTTCCGGCATCTTCTTCTTCTTTGACATCATAAACTATTTCCTTAAAATGCAATTATTTCTCTCGCAAAACTTTCCAAAAGTTTGAAAAATATCCGAAAATTCCAAAAAAAAGTTTAGATTTTTAAAGTTTTTTTGTCAATTATTCAAATTTAAAGGTATTATTTTTAAAAATTTATTTTTCAAAATTGATCACTTATTCATTTTTATCACCAAATTCGCTCTAAAACGAATATGAACAAGTTCATAATCCTTTAGATTTAAGGTTTTTAGAAAAAAAATTGTCTGGAATTTTTTAAAGTCCAGGCTCATTTTGAAGACGTGCTAAACAAGAGTAAATTCAAAAAACTCTGTTTTCTGCTTCACAAAACTCTAGACTAATTTTAAATCCGGAAGCTTTAAGTGTATTTTTCAAACTATCAATTTTCAAAACCTCTTGCAAGAGAGCAGAGATTTAGACAAATTCACTCGTCAAGAGATCATCAATCTTTCGTTTTTCTACCTCAAATCAACAAGTAACTAGTGACTCATCGGAATTTGCTATTGGATCCTTTCTTTCTCCAATCACTGCTCTTGTCACTTTTTGAACTCTTTTTATTTCTGTTCCTTTATGTTTGTTCATGAATCTTGCTCTCCACAATTGCTAACGATTTCACCAGAATTGAGCAAATTTTGATAGTGAGCACAAATGAGTGTTGCAAGAACACGATTTAGGGGAGGACCATCTATTACAGGGACCCAACATCGCTCCAAAACTCTCGGTCAAAAATAGCGCCCCGAGATCAGGGATTCTGATTTTTTTTTCTTACTTTTGACACAACCGTTTGGAACCCAGGTTCTTTCTATTTTTTAAGGACTTATTCGAAGGTCTTTCTATTATATGGGCATTTTTAATACGGGTTTTAAAGTATCCAATGGCCACCAGTATCGCCTACTTGATCAATCTTCACACCCACATATCATTTTCCGAATAACCTTCCACTTGTATGTCAACGCCCTTGCTCACTGACGTTCATATTGTGCCACACCGTACTTGAGAGTCCGAAAACTCTCAAATGGCTATTCCTCCTCAATTATTTGTGTGTATCTTTCCATTATTTTTCTCTCTCTCTCACTAGTTTTATTTGCTCTGTTCGTCAGTGTTTTTTTCTTTCGCAAAACCGTTTTTTCCTCTTTCTAAGACGATGAGCAAAGCGATTGAGTATCGAGGTCACGCATACAAATATGGTCATCTGTCGAAATGTGTGTGAGTGGAGTGGACACTTTGGAAGATACTTTTTTCTGACTTGATGGGGAACATTGAGTTTTGAGAAGAACAAAGTTTTTAGGATCAAAACCACCCCCATACATTTTATATTTACTAAAAATCTTTTGTTTAGAAAAATTCGTTCTCTTTCTTCCAATATTTTGCCGCTTCTGTTTGTTAAGTGTGAGCCAACAGAGGCACACTTTTCTTCAACTTTATATATTTTTCTTATCTTTTTTCAAATTTCAAATTGTGTTATCTGGTTTGTTTTTTTAGTTTTGAGTTGTCTAAAACTATTGCAGCTGCTTAAAAATAATATTTTTCTTTACTAGCTCTTTTCGCTGAATGTTAGCTAATCAAGTCTAGAATTGTGTTCTGCTCGGCTGTCGGCTTGCAACTTCTGGACGGAAGTTGAGGGGGGTTCGGCTTTTGGACGGCTTTTGGTCAGATTATGGACAGAAGCTGCCCACTGACAGCAGTGGGACGGACAATGGTCAGATTTTGGCCGGAATTTGAAGGCGCTGCGTGTTAAGAGGTCGAAAGCTGGCCGGTAATTTGTCGGATCTTGGTCGGCTTCCCACAATGTCTTTGCCGGAATCTGACCGAGCTCCGGCCAGAAGTAACCAGCGACGCCTGAGTGGTCAGATAGAATGAGAAAATCTGGAAAATTCAGAACATTTTTTTTTGAGTTCCAGACTCTCAAATATATTCATTTTCTGACGTCTTCATCCATCTCGATTCTCCTACATTCCCTCACATTTTTTTGCCGCAAAAAGTCTCAAATTTCAGGACCAAAAACTTTTCCTCTCATTCTTTTTTTCCCTTTTCTTTTCCCGTTTTTTTGAAATTTCGTATTCTGTTCTTTTTCATCCTTCTGTTGTTGATGTGCGATTTTTTCTCTCAGTTCAGTTCAGACAAAAAACGGGCAACCGTTTCCATTGGTGACCTCTTTTTTTGGGGCGTTTCTTTTTTTTTCGACGGATGGTGAGCACCTATGGTAACCTGATCGGCTCGGTGAACTTTGCCGGTTCACCAAACCATCAAGTGGTTTTTGTTTTGGTGATGAATACCACCTGAATTCTTATATAAACAAAAATTTTGGAAATTTGAGTTATAGTTCATTTCGAGTACTCTGGTATTCTTTGGGTTTATAAGCCTGGGAAATTAAATATGCGTCACTTTTTTTTGAATTTTTTCAGGATAGACTAGGTAATTTTCTTTTTCGAATTTTTTAACAGTATTAAATCTTTTCATTAAAAAAACAATTTGAAAATCAAGTACTATCAATCATGTTTTGAACATAACGTATTTGCTCGAATGGAAGACCACCTATATTTGCACTTTGAGCTCAATTATCTCGGTTCTTATGAGAGATATCAAAAAGTAATCAGCTAGCAAAATTTCGCTGATTGTATGATAAATAATTTATCAGTTGACACATTTTTGATATCTCTCATAGGAACCGAGATAATTGAGCTTGTGGCCTCCTATTAGAACAGATCAAAAAATGGAAAAAACATGCCAAGAATAACCTTTTCAATAAGAAAAAAAGGTCGGCGTTCCCATGTGAATCATCTGTTTAATCACATAATTTCCTTTTTTTATTCTTCTTTTTTTCCCATACCAATTGATGACACTTTTCGATTTCTTTTTTCTTTTGTCACAAAACAGTTCTCCCATTACATCTATTGTGTAAAATACTGGTTAAAGTGCGTTCTCGTTGTCCCTTCTTTTTACTTTTTCTCAACACTTTATCAGTTATTTTTTGTCGAAATTTTCTTCTGAAAAAGGTATGAGTAAGTCATTTACTGTAATGGTAAAAAAATCTATTCTCACCTGTTCCTTTTTAATCGAAAAAATATATATGAACAATCTGAGAACAGCTGTATCCAGGTGATTAGAAATACGAAGACTAAAAGGTGTTTTTGGGGGAGAAAAGGGCGGTACATTCGTTCAAATCAGGAAGAATATTATAGTCTAAATTAAGATTTATAGTATTTTATAGACCGACAAAAATTCTAAACAGCTAGACTTGCTTGCAAAACTCTAATAAAATTTCCCACGAACCGTCAACATTGAGATACATTATCTCGATTTCTGTGAGAAACATAAAAAATCTGCCAACTAATAAACTAATCGTAAAAATATCACCAATATTTCATCAGTTGACCTATTTTTAATATCTTTTACAGGAATCGAGATGATTGAGCTCAAAGTTTATGGTTTGGGTGGACTTCTGTTAGAGGAAATACAACGTCCTTAAAACGTCCTCAAAAACCAGATAGATATTCTAGACGTTACAATGTTTCAAAAATTACAATATTCTTTTAAATGAAAATTTATAGTCAGATTTGTAAGGAACGGTTTATAGAAAATGTTCTTGAATAACCATGGATTTCTAGTTTTTTTTTTTCACATTCTAATTAGAGTAATGAGCCATGGAACCTGGAGTTATGGGAACCGCTGAGCTCTCCGAATGGCACATAATTCGGAAGGTACAACGATTCAGGGGTACAAAGGGGCGCAAACTGATTTAGGTGTACAAAATCCACAGTTAGTAGGTATAAAATACGATTTTTTTCCGGTATTTCGTACCCCAAATCCAGGTTTTTATACCCCAATGACCTCAAAATTTTTGTTCCTTCCCAATTATTTTCCTCTCCGAACCGACGATCACTACTAGGCCGACCGCTATCGGCAGCTTCAAAAAAAAGTGTTTTCATAACGACGATAGTAATGCCTTCGAATATGGTAGAGGTCCAGCATCGTTTTTCCGCAATTTCATTCTCCCGAACTAACAGTCCAATGCACACTCCTCCTCTCCGAGAAATGTCAAACAGATAATTAGGCATCCTTACATACATATTGTCTCGCTCTCAGTCTGTAAACTGATCACTTCATTGCCAAAGATCAGGTTCCTATTGCTCCGCTCTTTTATCTCTGTCTGCGTCTCCTCTTCTCTCGCTTCTTATTCTTTCTGCAAACCAAAAGCCATTGAACATGGAGGGATAAGAAAACAAGACCTCCTGTACACCTGTTTCGAACATCAGTGCCATCTATGACTCATTTTGATCCTTCTTCCTATTTGTCGGTCTCTGAATGGTTACCATACCTTTTTTCTTTTTATATTTGCTCCTCGAGAGAACAAATCAGCATCAATTGGGGTCTCTCGATCAGCAGTTAAGTTTTCACCTCGAATGGTCTTTTTTTTTCTGATTCCTTTTGTCCACTTTTCAATTTCCGCGTTCAACCTTCTCTGTTTCTTTTTCATCTACCACTACTTCTTCTTTTTCTTCTCCAAAAACCAATTCATTTTGCCCCTCTACGTTCATTTTCTGGCTTCTTCTTCTTATTCTTTTCTCACTTTTTGAATCACTAGATTTTCTTCTTTTTAGTTTTTTTTTCTTTTTTATTAATATACTCGTCATCTGATCTTCTCCATTTTTTCTAAATCAGAACTGTAAACTAGGTTTGGTGAGGCTTGGTTGAGAATAAGGGAGCAAAAAGTTTCCAGGTGAGAAGAAAAAATAGGCAAACAATGAGACAAAGAGAAATCGGGGAGGAAAGAAAGACGGAGAAAGATTCTAGTTGGAGAGAGAAAATAAGGATCTGTTTTTTAAAGCATCTTGGGATACGGTAGAACTGCAAATTAATAAAAGAATTGTATTCTATTTTCTTTGGTTAACTTTTAATAACTTTAGTATTTACTGATTTTGTGTCCTTTTCTGGAGTTTGATGGCTCTCGGGATACTGTATGCCAGTCCTGAGTTAAATTTCTGTTACTAACCTGTAATAGAAGGTGTAATGCCTTTGGGCTAGTTACGATTGGGCTCTTGATAGTTCAGTGGTTTATTGCCAAGTTTGAGCTTAATTAACTCGGCTTCTATAAGATATATCAAAATTGTGTAAACTGATAAAATGTTTGAGATATTATGATAAACAATTTATCAGTGAACTACTTTTGAACATCTTTACGGGAACCAAGATAAATTAGCTCAAAGTTAAAAGCTAGATGCCCTTCTATTACAGGGTTTACGGTATGTTTTGAAGTCATGAAATTATCGTAGATTTATCCAAAAAAAGATTAGAAACTCGGTTTTTTGTTATATTCGTCCAACCCAAAAAAATTTAATTTGCTTTTCTCAAAAATTGATTACTAAAAATTCACTGGGTTCAAAAAATTGGTATTTTTTTGTATATTCGAGACATTGTACGTGCTAGTTTTCACTTTTCACTTTAGAATTACTGTAGCTTTCAAAAATTTTCGAATTTCCAGTTACTCCCCACCTCGGACCCTTCCAATAGTTCCTCATCTATTTTTTCAATCTCCTGACTTTCCAAAATTTCTTTCCATTACTCAATTGTCCTTCCAAAACTCTATCTCTCGAGAAAAAGATGAAGCACGCCTTCTTCTTCTTCTTCTTCTTCTTTTTCCCATTTCATTTTCATTTTCATATATTCTCCAAAAGAACCCAATTAATCAAAAAAGAGCGCCAAGTATACAAGGGGGCATATAAAACCGATTGGATGTGTCACGTCAGTCAGTTTGATGTATTCCGAGGAACGGAAAGCCCTTTTTCTCTTCTCAACAAACAAAAAGAAGAAATCCTTGGTTTTACGCATTTATATTAGTTGTGTGATTCATGTTGGTCGAATTCCTAAATTAGGAAGAAATTGAGGAGTAATGATGATACGGTTTTTATAGGAGACGTTTTATCAGAAATTTGGAGAGATGACTTGGTTTTCAATATATTTCTTCCTGTTTTTAGGTTATTTTCTGTATTTTGAAATGCCGGTATTTGTAGAAACTGAAGTTGATTACTGTATAAAATAAGTTTCAAATCGTAGTTTCTGCAAGCACCATTACGAAATACCGAATTTAATTTATAGAAGCCTACCCTAGGCGAAATTTTGATGTCTCTTTTAGAAATCGAGATAATTAAGCGCAAAGTTGAAGGTTTAGGTCGGTTTCTATTAAAGGAAATACGGTAAAGGGGCACTCCGAAAAAAATGTTTTATTGTATTGAAATTTGTAGAAAAATAAGTCGATTCCCTTAAAAACATAGAAAAGCGTTTCCGGAAACCTCTTAAGAGGAGTTTTCAGTTTTGGCGGACATTCAAAAAAAAGGTTACAGATTCTTCATCAAGAGATGAACGAGAACTTCAGAATTTATGCTTTTCGACTCTACAGTAACCCTTGCTCTCGAACTCTGAATCCCAAAAAAAAAAATTAAAAATTGACTGACAGATGGAAAAAAGTTTATGGCTACTACCATGGGAACTCTTCTCCAACTTCTTCCTTCCTCCGCATTCAAATTCAAAAATACTGAAACTTGTTTTTTCTTTCCTTTTCCTTTTTTCTAGCTATCGTCATCATTGAAGCCTGACTCATACACACCCCAGAACCTTAAAATAATCTCTGCCTCACTCTCTTCCAAATTTTTGAGTGTAGTTGATAAAAACCGATAAAAAGTGAGTGAAAAAAGTGCATGAAGAACTTCAAGCCATCAGAATATTGAATTGTTTTTGTTGCTATATTTGAATACCTCCCATGAAAAAGGGAGGAGGAGAGATTATCATCTATTTCTCTTCATATATTTCGTCACTAATCCCATTTTGTCTCTATGATGTTTTTTTTCCCGTATCTCAACAATTGATTTATAACTTTTTTGACTTTTTTGTGGATGGAAACAGTTGCCAAGTTTTTGATTTCTAATCGTCGTATTCGTTCCGCCAAATCGAAGATGATGACACTTTAGACCGCAAACAAAAAAACGACGAAGACGTCGACCTTCTTCTTCTTCTTCTTCTTTTCTTTCTAGTCGTCGTTAGAATAAGAAGAAGAAGAAGAAGAAGAATAATGGAATCGACACAGTCTCCAGAGTGATAACTTCTTCTTTTTCTTTTTCTATTTCTTCTTTTTCCATTTTCCGCCCAACCCCAAAAACACAGCGCCGCCCGTGTCTCTATCTATATCTATATTGTTTTCTTTGTCTTTCCCATTTTTTCTCACACATACCTTATTTTCTCAACTGATTATTATTTTTATAATATTCTCCCACTCTCTTTATTTTTCTTTATATCTATTCGTGACTCATTTTGTTTTGGTGTGGACTAGAAAAAAATTTCGGAGAGAAAAAGGAAATTATAGTAGTTTAGAGCAAGAAGAAGAAAAAGTTTCTAATTCATATCCTTATCAGGAAAAGTTCAAAAAAATAATTGCTTTTGCTCCACTGATGCCAACGGAGCATTTATTTTCTAAATGACTCAATTTTCTTATTTTTGAGCAATCAATGTGAGATTCTATTGTGGGCGGAGCCAAGGTGTTTTTTCAAAACGTTTTTTTTTAAATTAATGTTTTTCCGCGCTTTTTCCGGATGCCCAAAACCGTAATACTCGGCAGTTCAAATGGAAACTTTCGTCTCGAGACCAACGCTAACTTTGTATATTAGCGTTGGAGCACATTTACATAACATTCCCAAAAAAACCATGTGTTGTGGGCGGAGCCTAAGAACACGGTGTTTCTCCGGAGATTTGCGGTAAATGCGCCTAAACGCGAAAACCGTTAAACTACTGTAAAATTAGCGTTGGTCTCGATCAGCGGTGCCTGCATTCCATCGGAAAAAGCGCGAAAAAATTATATTTTGAAACTTTCCAGAAAAAACACCGTGTTGTAGGCGGAGTCAAAGAACTCCAGGAATCCTTCCCTAAAAATTTGGTGAATCCAGGTAAACTAGTATTTGTAACCTTGAATGACGAAGTTGTTTCCCAAAAAAAGAGGTCGAAAACATTTTTAGACACCCCACCACACCCCTTGTGATTTATATTATTTTTAAAGATTTATACCGAACAATGAAAAATAGATTATTGAGTTATACAAACAGTCAATATTTACCTCTTTCACTATGTTAGGTTAGGTCTTTTCTCCTTTTCTCGAAAGTTAAGCTTATTTGGTTTCTGATTGGTTGCCAAGAGCGGAAACCGATTTTTGTGCTCCATCTCCGCCTTTCGGGCAGAGGCACAGAGAACGGGAGTTTTCTTATCAAAAACTTTCGAATCTCGGAATTTCTCTCATCACTTATTTAGTAGAATCGTTCCTCTCGGGAACCGATATGTTCCCATTTGAATATATAGTCGGGAAAACGGTTTCTCCGTTTCTCTTTTTGTTCTCAATTTTTCACTCTTTTTATCATCACCGCCGGCATTTTTAGTATTAGAGATCAGCGAGACGCAGACACACAATACATCTCCTATTCTCTTTTTTTCGCCTCTCTCCAACACCGCCATCCAACACACTGTTGCAGTTTAGGAGTGTTGTACAGATCGTTGTCTCTTGGCAAATTGATATCGGTTTCCCTTTTTTGATGAGGGCACTGACTACTAACTCTTTCTCTCTGCTTCTCTGTCTATTTCTCTCTTTTCCAAGTCCTAACTTATTAATGTTCTTTTCAAGCCTACTCCACTCCACTAGAGTTACACGAATTCCCAAATCTCTTTTCATTGAATTTTTGATCTTTGCCTCTTGCATACGAAACTCGTGTAATTTGCACCTGTATTCAGGTAACTGGGTGCACTCTCGGTACTAAAAACCTAGCTTCCCACGTTGAAGCCAAATGATATGAATTTGCCATTTTTCAACTCTTTGATTTAGTTTTCTTTTTTGTTCTCTCGGCGGTAATTTTGTATGAGGACTAGTGGAACAGAGGTAAAACCATCTATTCGTGTCATTTTAAACCTGTAGAATATTTCAGTGGTTCGAACAACTTCGTAATCTTCATAACCGCCTGTTTTAGATTGTCTCCATATAATAATTGAGTTTCTCTTGCTTAACCGACTAACATGGTTTTTAGTAGGTTCTGTTGGAATTCTAATTCCTCATTCACCTCTCCACGCCACTTTTTAGACTGAAGCAATTCGCTCGATGTACTCTTTCGTACCCGGTTCGTCGTGTGAAACGAATTTGGACCTACTTTGCAGCAGGCATGTTTTCAATAGGGTTTATTTTTAAAATCTCGGAGGCACGAAAATTGTTCTCGTGTCTCCGGAAGTAGTGAACCACCTAGAAAGATTTTTAGTTCCTTCTCTCAGAAGTAAATTGCGGGGGAGATGCTCAATTTCTCTTTTTTTTTGTGTCTTTAAAAATTATTTTTCTTCAAAATTATGGTAGTTTTCTCTGTCTGCGATAAAAGTGTACCTATTGCTTACCGTACTCCTCCGCTAAATTGAAAAAGTGGGCACGGCCTGAAACAATGAATCATGCCCCAGCTGTAGAGTTAATATTTCGAAATATTGTTTACCGCATCACATCCTCCTATAAATTTTTGCCTCAAATACTTCTCTAACTTACAGTTGCTGCCCCCCTCTCATAACACACTCCGATGACTCACATCAATTTTACTGATTTTTTGTTTAAGCGTTCCTCTCCTTTATAAATGCTCTTCTCTTTTATAAAGATCATATTTTTCAGGAATAGAGGTAATGAACTGCGAGGTGAAGCATGCGCTACACTGCGCCGTACTAGTGGCGTGGATCGTATGTTTCGCCTACTTCTGCGGCGTCTTCACCGAGCCGGCGGAAGGAACTGTACCCGAAAGTCCTGTTGCCAGGTATGTTCTCGATGAAATCATTGTTATATTCAATTCCGTGTGTTGAACTCTATAAATTGTCTCTCTTATCTTTTTGTGATATATGAGACAGCAGAAAAACAGTCACAAATTTCATATTTTCAGCTATGGACTCGTCTGGACCATCTGTTTGTACTTGCTTCGATTCACTGCTCTTCTCGTTCTGCCGCAATGTCTTTGCAATCTTTGTGGGTTAATGATGTTCAATGCGTTCAGAGAAAAGGTAAGATTTGAGTAAAAAATTACGACTTTATTTTGAATAATTAATTCTAGGTACAATTGAAAGCTGCTCCTCTTCTGTCACCATTTGTCTGCTTCCGAGTCGTCACTAAAGGAAACTTTCCGCTTCTCGTCAAGGTAAGTCTGTTACTCCTTGCTCCTCCGTTATCGCTCTGACAAGACTTACGTGTTCTTGGCAAATTGATAAAATTAGAAAATTCCTTCGCCGCAGAACTTTGCCTTATTGGATTGATAACTGGGCGATGACTAGTGCGCTTCGAACTAGAAAAGTGTTAAAATTCTGATTGTTTTTCTTTCAAAACGTCGAAATTCCTTTGCTGCTCTGCCTCCATTGAGAAAATTCTATCATCGTTTTTATGAGTATGAGTGTATTAGGAGAGGAAGTGATAAGAGAAAGTGCGATCTTAGTCAAAAGAACAAAACAATTTTGGGGGTTGGGTGTGTCTTGTCGATGGTTAAGAAATGACACAAAATTCATAAGTTTCGTGCAAAAAAAATGAAGAAAAGGGAGCTGAATTGTGTAGCTGGCTTCACGATAAGAGCAACCAACTTGACACACACGTGGATTAATGACACGATTAAAAGTTTAATATGAATCACGAATTATGATTTGTAGGAGAACATCGATGCGAACATGAAGACGTGCTTCGAAGCCGGTATGGAGAACTTCATATTCGAAGTTGTCACCGATAAAGCCATCAATCTGCCACCAAATCCGAGAGTCAGAGAAGTTGTCGTTCCAACTGCTTACAGGTAATTTCTTTCAAGTTGACCTAAATTCACAAAAATGTTTTCCAGAACAAAAAGCGGAGCAAAGTTCAAGGCCCGCGCTCTTCAATACTGCCTGGAAGATGATGTGAACATTCTGCAGCCAACTGATTGGATCGTGCATCTTGATGAGGAAACTTTGCTGACTACAAACGCCATCTGTGGAATTCTGAACTTTTGTGAAGACGGAAAACATCAATTCGGACAAGGCGTCATCACTTATGCAAACGGAGACATTGTAAATTGGTTGACGACTCTCAGTGATTCGTTCAGGTGAGTTCGGTGGTGATAAGGCAAATGATGTATTCATTGAATCACCCGGAATGAAATCAAAAGATTGAAAAGTTACGTATTTCTTTCTAGAGTTGCCGATGATATGGGAAAGCTCCGGTTCCAGTTCAAACTCTTCCACAAACCACTTTTCGGATGGAAAGGCTCATACGTTGTGACGCAGGTGGAAGCGGAAAGAGACGTTTCTTATGATCATGGAATGGAAGGATCTATCGCTGAGGATTGTTTCTTCTCGATGGTCGCAATGAAGCACGGTTACACTTTTGATTTTATTGAAGGAGAAATGCACGAGAAAAGTCCATTCACAATGTGGGATTTTTTACAACAACGGAAGCGCTGGTTGCAAGGAATTCTCCTCACTGTTCACTCATCGAAAATTGCCGTTGTGCATAAAGCACTTCTGGCACTTTCCCTATACGCCTGGGCAACGATGCCACTGACATCACTGCAAGTGTTCCTTTGCCCACTTTTCCCATTGCCAAGGTGTCTTCCGTTCGACTTTCTACTCTCGTTCGTTGGAGCTCTGAATCTCTACATGTACATCTTCGGAGTTGTAAAGTCGTTCTCCCATAAGTACCGTAACAGTTTTCTACGACTTGGAATGTATTTGGCTGGAGCTCTAATGACGATTCCATTTAATATTCTTATTGAGAACGCAGCTGTTCTTGTAGGAATGTTTGGGAGGAAAGACCAATTTTATATCGTCAACAAAGATATTCAAACTGTATAATCACGACAAGTACAGTAAGTTCTGAATAGTTAAAGAGCAGTTTTCAATTCTACCTATTTTTCAGAACATGATCTGATGCACCTCGTTCTTTGCGAACTTTCATTTTCTCTAACCATGATTTCAAATGAATAGCCAAAATAGCAGCTACTTGTTGACATTTTAATATCATCTGCAAGCCGATTTTCTTGCCCGTCTTTTACGACTCAAGAAGTTCTACTCGTTCTACTGTACCCCCTTCAAATGCAACAATTTGCCAATTCATTTTTTCCCATTTCTACTTTCCAAACTTGCTCATTTCTACCCCACCCATCCCTGTTTTGATATCTTTCTATTTCCGGTTCTTTTTTCTTTCTTAGAAAAGTGCTAAATCGACATGCTGCCCATACCGCCTTCCTGCTTTGAGATCTCTCGCTGATATTAACTGCGTTGATTATATATGTGCATCCGTTTGTTTGGATACTCTGTTGATCCCTTATTTCACGACGTGTCTCTAGGCTCTTTGCATTTTAAATTTGAACTTTTCACATTTACATCTATAGGCTGTTTACTAACATCTCGATTTTTTATCCAATCTTTTCTCATTTAGTTTTTATTTTGTATCACACTTTTTTCTTTAGGAAATGACCCCCCCCCCCCAACTCACAACTCCCCGTTTGACAACACTTTTCATCACATCCACCCCACCACACCGGCTTATGATCTCGTGTATCGCAATTTACGTGTTATCGTTATCAACTTTCTTGAGAAGATATTCGAATGATTTTTTCTGAAACTGATAAATGCTTAGAATTTATGAAAATACATACAAACAAAAATAGTGAAACAAATCAACCAATTATTCAATCCATCGCTCGTTCCAGGAGTTTCTTCTGAAGAACGTTCTGCGAGTGTGGTCCCAATCGTAGGCGAATTCGACGCTCCGCACCCCAATGAAAAATAACAGATTACAAAATTTTTTGAAATCGAGGTGATTTTTGATGGCATTGATCGAAAAAAAGCCCGAGAAACTGAAGAATTGGTAAACTTGAAAAAAAGACAAAACTTGAAGATTTCCAGCGATTCTTTAAACTTTTTTTTTTGGATATTAGGGGAAACCTATTTTCAGATTTATTCTACAACCAGGGAATTCTTGAATCTTCCAAAACAATCGTGAAAAACCATCGAAAACGGAAATATTCCCAGAAGACACCCGAAGCCCCGCCCACTTGCACGCAAAGTATAGTGGACGGCGGATGTAAGGCTTCCATTTCGGTCGCACAGGTCCTGCGCGCATACGCATAATGGATGGGCGACGGAGGACGCGCCGATGAATTGGGTACAGGGAAAGGACGCCGGTATGGGGCATATACGGGGCATATGGGGCACACCGCCGCCGCAAAGCATCTCCTCGCCTGGCTTGCTGGCACTCGATGAAATGAACTAAAACGTTGGTTGGGGGTTCCTAGAAGTATCAGTTAAGTTCTATTGTGATGTGATTTTGTTCAGGTCTTCCGATTTCGTACTTTTCCTTTATTATTCCATATTCTTTTATATTTTGAACGACATATTACTGATTTTTCGAAACTCAATGTTTTGGTTTTGAAAAAGACTTATGGCAGTTTCCATTTAAATTTGATATGCAATCAAAAACAGAAGAAAATGGGAAAAAATTCGCTAAAAATTGTTTTTTTTTCATTTGTTCAAAAAATGTCTCACTTTCACTTTTTTCAAATTGCACGAAAAATTGAAAATTTTATAATTTAAACGTTGTAATTATTGTATACTTACCAACTTACCTTTTACTCCACCTGAAAATACGATTTTTACAATAATTACAAAGTGAAATCAAAAAATCTCAATATCACCTGTTTTGGCGAAAAACATAGTAATTAACGAGTGAAAGACATGTTTCTGCAAGAATTCAGCGATTTTTTATTCTGCCATAACTCTTTTTCACAAAAAACATCGAAGGAATAATCGAAAAACCAGAAATGTAGGCTCGAATTGACGAAAAATTGACAAAGTTGCCGGTGTGGATTTACGGTAAACAATGGGCGCATCCGGGATTTCGGAGTGTTGTAGTCGGCCTACCGTATCAGACTCATATCGCACACATCGCCCACCCACCCAGAATCCATCTAGGATCGCGCGCATTCGGAACACTCGATTCAGCCTCTCCCGCATCGCACACATATGAGACTCATCGCAGCTCGTTGTTCGCAATATGTGTCAAACGGACTTCTAGAGGATCGCATATGGATCGGGTCCTTTATGCGTATCATCGCCCAGGACCTGTGGCGGTCGAAAATCGCCGACCGCCGACCGACAGCGTCGCGTCCCGTCTGTATGTAATTCAGTTTGGACGCGGGGGAACGGTGCCGGCACGCTTTGGTCACGGGAGGTCGCGGGAGTGCACGGGTGCATGTGGGGTGTGCATATGGGGATGATGGATGTGAAATATTCCTGGTCCGGAAAAAAAATATTCCTGGTTATTTTCTGCGTTTTCGAAATCGGTTTGTCACTTTCTCGCTTTTGTGATAAAAAGTAGAATTTCGGAATTTTTCCGGAAGTTTTGTTTTAAAATTGGAGCAATTCTGAGATTCCAAAATTCCAATTTCACTCAAAATTCCAGTGATTGACGAAAAAAGCGAAATTTCTAAAATTCTCATTTTGGTGAATTGAGCTCAATTTTTTGAGGGCAGACCTAAAAAACGTTTTGCAGAGTTCCATGAAGTTTTTGTGAGTTCTAGCATAATAATATTTGAAATTTTCGATTCTCAACCCTATTAGCTAGAAGGCACAGGACACCATGGAAGCGCTTTGTCCATGACTACATACCCCACAATACTAGGAGTCCCACCAAACCTTCGAGTTATTCAAGCAAATGTCCGAGACACACAGACACACAGACAGAAAAGTTTGAGTAGTAAGGAGTAGACAGTTTCTGGAATTGAAAAAAAACCCGAGATAATGGCGGGACCATCCCGGGAATTTTCTGAGCTCTGAACGGCCTGTGTTGCAAACAAAACTAGATCCGAAGTATAGTTTTGGTAAATGTTCAATATTCGTCAGCTTTTTTTCAACTTATCGTCAGTTTTTCGTCCGCTTTTCGCCCGTTTTTTGTACGTTTTCCGCCCGTTTTTTTCTGACGACCGAACCTGAAAGTCGGATCCTGACGGACGGACCTGGCTAACAAAAAACGGGCCTAAATGACGAACTTGATGGGCGAAACTGACGTAAACGGGAAAACAAAAAACCGACAAAAAACGGGCGAGTAACGGACGAAAAACGGATGAAAATTAAACATTTTTCCAAAACTATATTTGGAATCTAGTCTTTTGCGGGACTTCGGGTGCCTTTTGGGAATATTTCTGTTTTCGATGGTTTTTCACGATTTTAGAAAGATTAAGGTATTCCCTGGTTGTAGAATCAGTCTGAAAAGATTGGATTCCCTCTGGTATCAAAAAAGCGTTTGAAAATCGTTTAAACTCTTCAAGGTTTGCACTTGGGTTCAAGCCAATGGATCAGAAATCGCGCCCCAGTAAATGTGAGATTTTAGAAAAAATTCGCTTCTGAATTATGTGGCTGAGGATCAAACTTTTAAACGTTGGGCGAAAAAATTACGCGTTGCAACTCGTTGATTAAAATTAATTAGGTCAAATCCACGTCAACTTTGAAATTATCAAATTTCTTCTGGCCTAAAAGTTACTTGGGGCGCGTTTTTGAACCCGTTGACTTGGACCCAAGTGGGTTTTACCTTTTTTTCAAATTTTCGAATTCATCATCTTTCCAGGCGTGTTTCCGCTTCAAAATTGCAGAAAAAGTCAAAAAATTCTATAAAATGTGACACTAGCAAATGATCTTCGAGCAATTGCGTTATTTTTTCGTTTCTCTTCCATCGCTCCAAATTTGTAAACTCACAATTTCCATTTTTGTCAACTCATCGTCTTCTTTTACACAGCAAAAATTGATACAAGTACAAGAAGTAAAAAATACAAATAGCATAAATGATAGAAAGCAAAGAGCACCAGCCCACAGATCCCAGTTGTCGAATTCTTGTTTTGGCATTTTCTTTTCGTGTTGCTGAATTGCGAATGAACAACTTAAATATACATCTAGACCTCGCCTACTGCGCATTGATCGGTCGGCTTGTAGCTATCGGTCAGTATGCGGATCGCGACAAATCAAATAAAGGTTAATTAGTTTATTAAATTTCAAATACTTTCAAAGTTAATATATCGAGATCTGATTCGTTGTTGGTTATGACACTGGTATTGTATAATAGTAGGGTGAAATTAATTCAGAAAAGAAATCTCCCGTATTTTCGGAACCGTTTATTTTTACGAAATGGCTCTTCGTAGTAGCAGTGATGTAGAAGTCCACCTTCGGCTGGACTCATCTGAAATTTTTTTTCTCATTAAAGAAGATAATTTTCAAAAAACCAACTTTTCGTCTCTCAACCAACGCCGCTCCAACGATTACAGAAACAATTTCTTTGGCTAGAAATGCGAGAAACACATGAGCAGGTTCACCGTTTATTGGAGGATTACCCAGCCATGATAGTAAAAGTTGTCTATTTGAAACGGTCCCTTTTCTGAATGATTGGAACTATAACGTTTTTTTTTCGGAATAGGTAAGTAGAGGACCAACCGTTTTTTGTTACTTGTTGAAAACTCAAAAGAACTAAAATTGTATGGTATTGGAGACTGGTCTTGGAAACTAATACGACGAGCTTCAGCGTATCGATTATATTCTTCTCTGGTCATGTCATCCATAACTATCTGAAGTGCTCGAACCTGCTCGTTATGAGCTTCATCCACAAAATTTTGGAAAGATTTGAAGTTGAATCCGGCTATAGAAAACGCTTGCTTCACTTCTTCTAACAAATTCTCTTCAATTGTAACCGTTCCAACATTTTTACTCTTTTTCTTCAGAATTTCTCCTTCTTCGCCTCCGATTTCTCCTATATCATCTATCGGATCAACTTCATCTTCAACCACCTGATTCTGGAATTTTTCGTTTTATTAGAATAAAAATTGTATTGATAGGAACCTTATCATAATCATCGTCGTTTTCAACATCTTCTTTTGTTCCATTACTTGAATACGTTTTCTTTTTCATAAATCTTGCCATTTCAACTCGATTTTGCAGATACTTGATAAATCGAGATATGATACCTCTTTGATCTTTTAGAACAGGCAGAATGTGCTCCAGCTTTACAAGTGGAAATCTGAAAAAGTTTTATATGAAATCCTCAGAATCTTCGTAAAATTTTTACTTAGTGCTATGCACAGCTACAACATCTTTTAGAAGCATAACAAGTTCATTTTTCAAGATATCCAGCACAAAGTCCTCATTCTCTTCTAATGGATTTTCGTCGTCGCCTGACGTAAACATCAAAGTTGCCACCAAATTTCGGATGGACGGCTCCATCTTGTTAGATCCTTCTACTGAAAGAAAATCGCAATTTTTTTTTTGCGTGATTTAATCAAATGTGAATACGCACATTTTTCTATTTGAGCCGAAGCTCCAACGGCTAGTTTTGGACCATCAGAGGTCCTTTTCCTACTTCGTTTCGGCGGCATCTGAAGTGATAGAACCTCAAAAATCGAAAAAGAAGGTCGTGCTGTCATTAGATACACTCAGAATGAGTGAGATTCAATGCAACAAATACTTCAACAAACACAGTTGATTAGAAGAGAAAAGTTTTACTTTCGAACGTATGAAAAAAGAAAGAGGAAAAGTGAAAATTCGTAATATTCAGATACATAACAACAGCCGTAGTTAAAGACAGGGAGAGCGGGGATGGAGATGAGAGATTTCAGCATATTTTCAGGACATAGAAATTTTTGCGGAGTTGTGGTTTAGAAAATATAAGTTATTGATAATCTTTGAGTGAAAATCCGGAATTTTAGATGAACTGCTCGGCCCACTCATTCAGACAGTTGAATGCGCTCTTTGCATGGTTGGCGGTGACTCCGGCAGTTTCCTTGAGCCATTCAACGAATAGATCCTCGTCTTTCTTGAGAAGAAGGTATTGTCCGAACAGAACGTAGGCCTGAAAATTTCAAATACAGGTTTTGAACAGTTTGCAAGCAGTCACCTTATCGAATCCGGCGTCTGTGAGCTTCGTTCCGTATGTTGGTCCGATTCCGGCGATGCAAGTCACTTCCTTGTCGCCCATTGGCTCTCCGACAAACTCACGATGCTTAACAGAGGTCGACATTTTCTGGAACTAAAAAATATTTGATATTAATAAAAATAATACACTTATTGAAAGAGGAAAAGGGATAGTATATTAGTCAATATTCAATTCAGTTTCGTAACAAGAAGAGAATGTTTTCGAAAATAGAAAAAAGAACTAAATGTTGCGAAACCACCAAAAAAATCTGCGAAACTGATGACAGCACACGGGCAAACTCTCGCTTTTAAACGAGACTCTTCGCGGCAAAAGTGGGCGGAGTTTCGCAACGCAGCGCACATGCACACATGCTGCGTCTCTCGACTTCCTCTGTCTCTAATTCATATTCGGAGACCCCGGAAACTCCGGGGAAAAAAAACTCCGGAGAAAAGTGGGTGGAGTCGGGGGCGGAGCCTAAATTGCAACCCTGGCCTGGTTTTTTTTTTCCCCGGAATTTCCGGGGTCTCCATTCGTCAAAAAAGGTCTGAATCTCGCGGATAGTAATTGATTAGTCCAATCAATATAGTGCTGCTAATAACATAACGAAACACCTGGGAAAATAAGTAGAAGGCGATAGAAAATATTTATGCAAATGTCAGAGGAATAACTTATCGTAAAATCTGGAGTACAAGATTCTGGAAGAGGAACATTCATACATATAACTGAAGTAGGAAATTAAAACTATGGATAAACCCGATTTAGTGATGATGGCGTTGCTCGTACAAACGAATTGCTGGATCTTGTGATGGAGCAAAGTTAGGAATATTGAGGTTCTGTTTAGCGATTCTATGACGGATTACAAAACGCGCCACTTCATCGGCGAGTTTTTCTGGGCTGTCTTCCTGAAAATTCGAAAATGAAAAATGTATTCAAGAAGAACAATTTACCTGTACACAATGCCCAACTCTTGGAAGAACACAAGTTTGGAATTTCCCTTGCATTTGGCCAATTGTAAGGCCCTTATCTAGTCTGTCCACTCCTGCCAAGACAAGGAGCTTAGGAACAAAGCAACTCAAGAATTCACAAGACAGTCCTTCGAACCATCCCTTCCAGTATTGTTCTGTGGTCGTCAAATCGATTCTCCACGTAAATTCGTTCTCGGAAACTTCTCGAACCTGGGAAGGCATCGAAACCCGAGCAGCTGTTTGGTTTTTGACTGTTCCAGAAGACAGACACCATCGAATGGCTTTATCAACAGAATCGAATGATGATGGACGTGAATGTAAGAAATGAACCATTCCACCCAATGCTTCCATTGCTGAGCCTTCGACGACATCAATGACGATGAGAGCAGCAACTTTTGCAGACAGTGCTTTTGCATTCAGAGTGTGAACAGCAAGTGCACCACCCATACTATGACCCACAATAGTGACCAGCTCGTCTGTTCTTCCATAAACTTTATTGAGAATCTCGCTGATATCTCTGTAATTACGGTGTAAGGCTAGAAAAAAAGTATTCTACTCACTTCACCTGTGTCTCCTTTGAAAGATCATGCTCATCAGCACATTTGGTATCACCATGACCTCTTAAGTCCGGAGCAATCACTCTGCAATCTACCAATCTCGCCAACTCTTTCTGAACTTGATACAAAATATAAAACAAGCTTTCAAGCCGTTCTCACCGCAAAACAAGCCCAGGTAAGTCCGGAATAACCTCCTCCGTGAAGCAAGTAGAAAATTGGTCCTTGGGTACCCTGGACACATGTGCTAATTGTTTCAAAACAAAAATGTCAACTACAAACCTTCAAATAAACATTGAATATGTCCCCATCAATGTTTACTTCTTTCTTCTTATCGAAAAAGTCGGACCATGGGAGAGCAGCCATTTCTTTTCGTTTTCCGTAGGAACTTCTGTAAATCTCCTAGTGAAACTAAAAAAAATTGAAAAATAGTTCTCACGCTGATGGAGCCGGTGGAGGTCTTCCGTGGGTGACTGCTCGACGGAGTAGATCATTCGGCTGAACTTTAAGCATTAATAAAACACAATTCGGCGAGAGCTTACCCTGTGAGACATACTATGCGGCATGACCGGCTGTAGGTCCGGCAGCATATCCATTTCGTCGTCCTCTGACATTATCACTACTGGAAAACGAAAATTGAAATCCAGAGAGAAATGTGATTTTTCTCCGATACTGCTCGATTTTTTCGAATGGAAGAGAAACTTTTCTCGTCCATTCGGTGGTGTACTCCACAAGGACAACTCGATATTCGAATTATTTTCAATCTTCGTTTTTCTTTTTCCTATTTTTCTGTTTATCTTCGATTGGTTCTAGACATATTATTGAAAATTAAACAATCACATTGAATACACAGTTTTTTCCCTTTTTTGCATCGTCATATTTTCAGAATGACAGCGGATTCGCTCCGTGAGCGATTTCGGAACCATAATGCAGATTCGTCGTTACTGAACACATCAGCTGCATCGAACCGGTCAGCATTTGAAGACAAAATGTCTCCAGTTTGCACTTCTCGATATATCAACAATAATCAGAGGATCGAGTTCATGAGAGTTAACACATTGGAGACTAGAATCAAATGGCACATTGTGCTTCTCACAATCTTCAGCATCGACGTTAGTTTCTTTTTTCATTATATTGACTTACAGACATTTTTCAGCACTTTGTTTTCAACTCATCAATCACATCATTCATACTACTTTTTGGATTCTTCCCGGCAGCTGTGTACTCCACTGTATCGTCTCTCGTGATCATTTATTCGCTGATTATGATCGGTTCCTGCACATTTGAAATCAAATTTCCCAATGCTGTTAAAAGTATAAATAATAGAATTCAATTTCCCACCCATAAGTAGTTTTTTCCAGATCTGTTCCAGTCCAAGTCACCAGTTAAGAAAGTTCCTACACAGTGCACTCCATCGGCAAACGATAGCCAACATCTTGTGAATACCAGTGTCAACAGCAACGATCTCTCCTGGGTAGATGCCCATCGATTTGGAACTCCTTTGTTCAAATCTAGTCAGCTCAAGCAGTCACCATCACCTGTCAAAACATCGTTCCACATGAATACATCTGTATCTGACGCGTCTGGCATTTTTGAGGATAGCAAGGGAGGATGGAAGAGTCCAGCTGCGTATTCAAAACCAACTGATACGATTCATACCAGAAAGCAGCTGGATGTCCTGTTGAAATCTAACAAGAACGATGCACCAATTGATCTGAATGCGTCACAAGCTTTCTCCTCGATTTGGACTGTTTTTGATTTGGGAAGGAACGGACAGAACAATGGGAATAACACGTGGCAATTGTCGGAAGAAATTGCAGAAGATCAATCGACTGCGAACACATGTATGAATTTGATTCTAGGTCTACTGAAACAGTATATTTTCTACAGCTTATCGTATGAAAATCGGCAAAAACGGAAGAACAGAAGTTAAAATGGTGAGACGTGGCAAAGACGGAGAGATTGAAGAAGAGGATGAAGATGAGTTGAATCGTTTGCACAAAATAATGAATACAGCAAAGAACACCCCGGATAACAAGGTAGTATAATATTCAGGAGAATTTCCATAATCTTCGAAATTTCAGACTGGAATTCTCAAAAGATCAAATTCGATGGATCGTTCAGGCGTCCGTAGCCGTCGTAGATCCCACGGATCTCCGGAAAGAACATCTGGATCTGAGAATGAGATGAGATACCGAACTGGAGAGTTGTTGACTGAGGAGCAACAGAAAAGAGCGGAATTCCTTACACGTGCCTGGATTCGTAATACTGTGATTCTTCCGTTGGCTCAACACATCGACAAAGTTAACAAACTTCTTGACAAGGAGCATGCGAATCCTCCACTTCGTATCGGTTCTTCTTCAGTTGATACGTTGAAACTAGCAGCAATGGAACGAGATGCTTTGAAGTCGTCGGATCTTCCATTCCTCCTTCCATTCCTCAGTGTTCATCCAAACCAAAAATACTTGGTTAGCCGTATCAAAGAGTTGAGCGTATCACAATTCATGGACGTCTACAAATGGGATTCTGGAGGCACGGAACCATCAGATGATGCGGGTCAGAAGACACGTTTGGTTCGACGAGAGTGGAATGATTCACTTCCAACTGATGCAGTTCTCGTTTTCGATCTCTTCCTAGCTTACATGGACGCACAACTCAATTCGAATTGTCTTGTTGGAGATAACAGGTATTCATTCGATATTTTCTTCTAAACCATGCGTTTTTATTCAGACTCGATCAACCATTCACCAGTCGTTTCTGTGTCAAGAGCCCATGTAAGCCAAATTCTGCTCAGAAATCTCCGTTCAGCTTCTATCTTTATATGGTATCGAAATCTCAAAAACTCAGTAATTATTATTCTGTTTAGGTCACTCAATCCCCTCCACACTTTGAATTCGTGCACATTGATGAGAATGGATATGCTGTGAAATGCAATGTACTTCGCCAAACTTCCAATCTCTTCCGTGCTATCGCTCAATTCGTTCATTTTGTGAAATACGAAAATCATGGATACATCGATAGAACCTCGATCGGACCATCTGGAATCAACATGGTGGTTGTACTTGCTTAAACCCAATTTTAATCTTTCGTTATTTTGTCTAATGTGTCTCCTGTGTACCAACAAACTGGTCGCATGTTCTTCATCCCAAATTCATTATTGTTTTTCTTTTCCCGATCTCGGATTTCTTTCTTCAACATAAATTTTTGTCAAAATTCAATCATTCATGTCTACGATGAAACCGAGATATTGAGAGGGGAAAGGGAAAAAAGCATTCAAGCACAAAGAATTGGGAAAGGTTTTAGGCCAAATAGTTTGGGTATGGAAACAGACAGAAGAGGAAATTGAATAGTAAGAAAAGAAGGGGGAGGAGAGTATGAACTACTATTTGGAGCTGATAGAAGCATTCGAATTTGGACAAATGGATAGAGAAGATGTTCGTACAAAAATAATTATATTATACCAGTAGCACTAAAGATCAGAGAGGCGCTTCAATTGCACGCACGGATAGTGGCGCTGAACGTGCTTACTGCTCTGTCCTTTTGAAAAAAGAACAGCGTGAGAAGAAGGAAAATGGGGGATGGTGGGTGATTCGATGTAGAAAGTGACAGGGTGAAGGAGAATTGGCTAGGTGATGGATGGATTTCAAGAGACGAATAAGTTAAACACTTTCCCATAGACTCCAAGAAAAAAACACAATGGAACAAGAGAGATAGAAGTAAAATGTTGCTCGCAGTGTTTTCTTTTCACCTAAAACAGGCAAGAAGCAAGTAAATATTGAAGAAAAAACATGAACATAAAAGAGAAATGGATACTGTCAATCAGACAGAAACAATTGGTAACTCGGGACGTGTGCAGGAAGAGAAACTTGAGAAAGATAGAATGTGGATACTGGCGCGGTGACGAAGAGGGTGAAAAGTGGTGGTGGTGAATGAAAACAAGAACACTATTGGAGATTCAGTTGAAAGCTTTCTATTTCAGAAACGTCAGCAGGCTCATTGATCACTCCCGATGGGCCAGGTCGGTCCATGTGGAACTCTTCTTCGTCGTCGCTTCCAGCAGATCTATTCGCACTCCTCTCGCTGCAATTTGCGTTTACATCCACGCCGATCGGACCTTACGAACCTCGCGGAATTACTATCATTTTCGTCACGGTAAACTTCCTGATTTCCATCAAGCGCTTCAGGAACTTGTCCATCCGGATACAGTCTTTGAAGGACCTGAAAACCAATTTAGAGAAATAGAAACTGAAAATATATTTTAAACCTCCGGATCTCTTGGTGCCTTTCCGCCAAATGGTAATAAGAATGGATGTTTGAGGGCGTCGTTTGCTGTTGCCCTCTTCTCCTGATCGAAATCGAGCATCGGACGAAGGAAACTCTCGAATTGTTGTGCGTCTTCATGAGACCACTCGTACTTTTGTCTCAGAACCTCGTATAGTGACCATGGTTTAAGATTATGAATATGAAGCAAATTGCCATTTTTGTGGAAGAATTCTCTCCAGTGTTTACCCTTTTTGTAGATCGATGGCGAAATTTGACCCAAAAGCTCGGAGATGTGAGCCAAATGATCCTCGTCACGTGAATAGTTGTCACCTTGATGAGGTTCGAATAAGTAATCGCCTGTAGCCAATTCGAAAGCCATGCAAGCTGTGCTCCAAATATCGGCTGGTGGTCCGTATCCAGAACCAATCAAGACTTCAAGCGCTCGATACTGACGAGTTTGAATATCATCTGTGTAGTGGTGGTTTACCCAGCAAGCGTTTCCGAGATCGGCGATTTTGACGTCAATATCACAATAAGGATCAGCGATGTTTGGTCCAACTGGAGGCGCCGGTAGAACTCCGCCGGGTGGGAGCATGCTCATAGGGGAGCTGAGGAATTCAGAAGACGGTGACGCTAACTCTCCTATCTTGCTCTCTGGATCACTGAATGGGGTCAAAGTGGTTCGATCGAATCGGTCCGGGCTCTTGAGTTCAATCTGAAGGAAAATGACAAATATATAAATTTTTACTGAGTTTTGCTTACTTTATTGTTAGTGCCGTTTCCGTTACCATTAACAGCATCCTCGATGTTGACGTCTTCGACTTGAGAAGTGTTGAAGCTTTCGAGTTCCTGAAAAATCTAGCATTACACTTTTAATCATTAACTTTTCGAAAACTAATTGCATAACATAGTAGTTAAACTAAAATTAAATAATCAACGCCGATAAACCCTACATCACAGACGGAAACGACGAAGTTACGACATGCCGGTCCATCCAGCGAAATGGTCAAATCTAGATTTGAGATGGAAGAAAATGTAAAGAAAACGAAGGAGAAGCAAGGAAAAGTGTGTGGACCGGTTTCTTCAAGTGATTGGTAGCAGAAGTGGAGGAATGTATGAACCGATGAGAATGAGGAACCATGTCAACACAACCAAGCACTCAAAACAACTTGCTCATTCAGGATCACCTGTGATAGATGGTATGTCTGATTGCAGACGCCTCCCGCTTGTGGATAAAGAGCCGGTGGTGGAGGAACCGATCTCGGAGAAGAAGGCGTGTTCACACATGAACTGCCTTGCAAAAGTTGAGGAATCGGCCCATTGAACAGCAGAGAAGGGGGGCGCATTCGAATACCATTTTGCTATATTTTGATTGGGTTATGAATACAGTTTTTGCTACTGTTTTGAAATTTTTTCTATCAACAACATTTCAACACCACACACTACCGTTCACAACTTACCGGTGCGTTGTTGTATGCTTCCTGTAAACCATTAGCATCCATTTTGAGACCCTCCAGTCCGGCCAATTCAGCCTCCAACTTTTCTCTTTGCTTTTTGGCCTTTTTCTTCATCTTCTTCTTTTTGTTTTTCGTCATGTTTTCTTGTGCCATTTTCACCAAATGATCTGGTGCAGTACTGACAGCTGATCCACTCATTTTCATGTTCATCTTCCGGGCAACGACAGCATGTTGAGCCATGATCTAAGAAACCACAAATTTGTTTGATTTAGAAAAAAAACTTCAACTAACCTTGATTTCTTCTCGGCTCATAGTAATAAGCACGTTCTCGGGTTTGATATCAGTATGAATGATACCGCACTTTTCGTGCATATACCGCAACGCCTCCAAAATTTGTTTGCATATTTTTCTAACTTGTTCAAGATGAAGACCTCGATAGTTGGACCGAATTATAAGTTTTAAGAGGTTGCAGCCAAGGACTTCAAAAACCATTGCAACATGTTGGCCGTTGATACCGGTAACAGTAAATTCGTCCAGTAGTTGAACAACTTTGTGACATCCCGTGTCTTCTGGATCTGCACCACGAACTGATAGCAGAAGCTGTAAAATTATAATTTGTTGTAGCGAAATTGTATTTTAACTGAAAATCAGTTGTGTGACACAATTTTAACTAAACTACTATCGATTTTCTTGAGTATTACACAAATGCACTTGTTTCTGTTGATGAGTCAAGAAATATGTTTTAAAAACTAACCTTGATTTCGTCAAGAGCGGCTTCCGTGTAATGCTCAGCCGATTTGACTATTTTCATAGCGGTAAACCGCTTCTCTTGAGTATCCCAAGCCAACCAGACAGTCGAGAAGTGGCCCCATCCGAGTTTTCGAATCACATGATACCTTGAATTAAACACGTCTCCGATGTTGACTGGGTGATAGCCGCCACGCTTGTAGTCACGAGGATCTTCTTGTTCCTCGTCATCAGAACCGAGTTGCTCTCCCGGATCCTGAAAATGATTTGATATTTTTTGAACAGTATTACAGAAACTCACCAATGGATCTTGGAAGGAATCCGAATGACCACCACCCCCACCAGGAGAATCACTGCGTCCAGGACTGACACTAACATCGTCCATACGCTCTTCATTGGCGTTTACTTCAGCTCTGAAAAAAGAAGTTTTTTAAAATTAGATTTACTGCTACTTCACATAAACTCTTGTTAGGAAAATGAGAAAATATTACTTTTTGTTCTTTTTTGGAATAATAGATGGGCGGGGGATAGAAATAGAAGCTGAAGCACACACAGTTCCCAGATCATACTCGAACATTTGAATTTCGATATCGTCTGAGTCGTAAGAAGTAGCACTGTCGTCCTCGTCGTCGTCAGGAGTAGACGATGTCGATGAGGAGACTGATGAATCAATTGTTCCTTCACTCTCATCTCCCTCTTTTGCTGACCGCATTTCCACCGGAAGGTTATCGTATTTAGATGCCTCTTCATCACCAAGAACTTCATTTTGGTGGTCATCTTCGTCCGAATGACACGAAGCCAATTCTTCTTCAATCGGCTCATCTTCTTGAGTTTTTATCGAGCTCACAGAGTCTTCGGTGGCATCGTTGACATGGTAGGAATCTTCCTGTGATTCAACATCTTCGTCTTCTGAAGCCGACATACAAGAGTTCATAGCTTCATCAGAACATCTCGAACCATCTTGCGAGCGCAATGATTGTTCATCGTCACTTTCGTTTACAATTACATTTACAGGGCGTGAGGACTGGTCTTCGTTCACCGAAACTTTCTCCACTTCGTAAACTTCAGAGGTGACCATTAAAGAAGTTTCTGATACTTCGAATGTCGATGAAATGTAGCCATTATCTTCCGCACTCGCGAACACCAAATTAACTTCGGTATCTTCATTTTTTATACTTGTTTCGGGCGGAGGAACATCAGAAGGCACGGCAGTCTCGTCTTCGTTGTTTTGCTTAACGAAAAAATAAAACCGATTTTGATTAACCAAATCAACGTTAATGTTACAAGCAACATTAGCTGATGAGGCAATCAGTTGAGTACAAATATCAGTTTCAGAATATGCCTCATGATCTTCCAGCTCTTCGGATTCTTCCGATTGCACACGAAACCGTCTCCGCCTTAGAATAGCTTCATATTCGAGCCTTTGAAAACGCTCTTGTCGAGGTGCAAATCCATTGAACCAACGACAAAATAGAACCACGAACATGAATAGAACAGTAGGGAAAATATCGGTCAAGATGAGAGATCCGCCCGCCTCATAACTTGTTATCCCCGGATAATCGATAGCTGGGTGGAGCAAATTTGGTGCTCGCCCGGCCAGCCTGACGAAAATGAACTTGCTTCAAAAATCAGTCAAGACTTGTTTGAAGCAAGAGATCCGCAGCACGTTGAAACGACGAGCTGTGACGCTTTGGGACAACGAGAGAGAGGGAGAGTGGGCACGGCGGTGCGAGAAGTGTCTCAAGAATATTGGCGGCCGCCGACGAGGCGCGAGGAGCGACTTGAAGAAAACGCGATCAGTGCGAGATGGGACAGAGTGTTCAAGTGATAGTGATGTGATGATTGCGGCGCCCAGGGAGAGATAGAGATATCCGTCGTCTCTATTCCTCTATTCCTTCAGCTTGTCGACCAGGTCGCGAGGAGAGAAGACAGCTGACAGGGAAGAAAGGCCACGGTGAATGGAATAGAGAAGAGAATAAGAAGTTAGGGACAGACGACGAATGGTCGAAGGTGGGGTTGTTTCAAGAGAAGAGAAAACGCAACCAGTTGCTACCATGAGATGAGGGTGAAGAGACGATTACACCAAACAACTTATAATCAATGTGGTCGCTGTCAGAGACACGATAATCGAAGATTTGTGTTCCTGCTGCGTAGTTTTTCGACATATTACATTTATTGTAATTTTAATCTTCATATCAAGATATAACTAGTTCGGGGAAAAACTAAAGTACTGATCTTTAATACCTATACAGCTTCTGATCTTTAATAAGGTTTTAAAAAGCTCACCTCTCGGTATGGTTCACTCCATTCGTCTGAACTGTTCCATTTTTCACGTTTGCGTTCTTTTCACCCGCTTGAGGAGGCGTTGAAGGCGCTATCGTTGCTGTGGGCTGAAGTGATTATAATTAATTGCAAAAGCACATGATCCCTCACATTGATCCAATGAGCCATCCAGCTCAGGGAGTGCAGAATACTTAACATGTTCTTAAATCCTAAAGCTTTTTGTTCTCAATAAGTGTAAACCTCATTATAGTTGTTCATTTCATTTATTTTCTGAGGTACTTAGCAAGCTTAATGTCTTATCTTTTTCTGTTAAAACAGGATTGTCTGAAAACCAATCTTTTCCGTGTGGTCAAGGTATGAATATATTATTAGAGACGCACACCAAAGAGGGAGGAAGCGAGCGGAAGTGCGTAAAATTGATGGGTATAGCGACCGAAAGTGGTTTGAAGTCCTCAATGGGTCCCTAGAGACTATTGCGAGATGAATTCGGTTTTTGAACCAGTATCTTTTTTAAAAGAAAGAAACAATCGACATTTTAGAAGAAAAGGAGAACATTCAAAACACTATTCGGGACTTAACAGTATAAGGATTTCGTTTTTTTTTTCAGATTTCAATTGCTCCAACATTTTCACAACAAAAAACGCACCTTCTTCTTATTGCTCTTCTTCTTTTTCTTCTTGTTTGCAAGCGGTACTGTATTATTCTTGTCTGGCCCGCCCATTTTCAGCAACTGAACGCGGTTTTTTCACTGAAATGTTATACTTGAGTTAACAGGTATGATGAAATACAGAGAAAATTGGTTTTGGGAAGTTTTATGAGCTTTTGAATGTTATAGAAATTCGATGTGGTACAAAACGGGGCATACAAAGCAGAAGATAAAGAGGTTGTATGTGCTCATACAATCTATAAACTCTGGATGTTGATAAAGATGGCGCCTTTATCGAAAGTAATAGCATTTCGAACGAGGAGTGCTCGAATTGGCGGACGCCTTGCGCCCAAAATATCGATCATGGGTTAGATCCGCAGGTTGTCGGGCATACGGTAGCGCATTTTCGGCTGGCCGGCTGCCAACTTCTGCACCACGCGTCCAAGTCTCTTCGTTTCGCACACTCTTTCTCGTCGAAATCTTTATTTGCAGTCGGGTTTCTGTTCTTCCAGAAATGCCGAAGATTATCAAATTAAAGAAAAACAATGCGAGAAAGATCTTTTTTGAAAGAAATCTGATTTATAAAAGACACTATCTTTGATTCTGTGAAATTATTCTGTATTAAATTTTTTTGAAAAGCTGGTCCTCGAACAAAAATTAAAGAATTCCAGTTTGTCGTCGGGAATTGTAACGATGAGTAGTACTGCAACTCAGCCGCGTTATAGCTTGAATCGAAAGGTTGCTGTCATGGGATACCCTCATGTTGGTGAGTATTTTTCTTTTTACAATGAGCAGTCAATGAATAAAAAATTCTGGAATCTGAGAATTAGAATTCATGAAATAAACTTTTTTTAAACCGAGTCATAAATTCGAAAAAATTAATTTTCTGTGTACAAAAGGCTACAAAATTTCCAGGTAAATCATCGATTGTCCAACGTTTCACCCAGAATATGTTTCCGGATAGGTACGAAACAACAATTGAGGATCAGCATACAAAACACCACACTGCCTTTCATCGCGACTTCAATTTGCGTGTGACTGGTAACACTGTTCATATTTTTCTCCTCAAAATTCATATTCTCCGTATTTCAGACACCGCAGGACAACAGGAATATACCGTGTTTCCGAGAAGCTGCTCTCTCGATGTTGCTGGATTTCTACTAGTCTACGCTATCGACGATAGAAAATCGTAAGACTCGATAAAGAAGTAGTTACAGTTTGAAAAAAAATTTCTAGGTTCGATATCTGCAGCAGTATTTATGAAAAAATTATCTCGGTCTATGGAGATCCAAGGTGAGTGATTATTGTTCCTCAAAATTAAAGGATTAGTTTTTTCCAGTATTCCAATTATCATTGTCGGAAACAAGTGTGATTTGGGAACGCAGCGAGTCGTTCAACAAGAAGAGGGAAAAGAACTGGCGAAACAGTGTGAAGCCAAGTTCGTGGAAATCACTGCAAGAGAAACGGTAGGTAGATTACTAGAATTTTCGGATTTTATTCGAAATCTCGAAAATTCCGAGTTTCAAAATTTCTGAAGCTTCAGAATTTTTCAAAATTCAAATCACAAAAGCGCAGAAAATTGACAAATAGATTTTTGAGAACCCAATTTTCAAAAAAGGTAAAACAAAATTCCGCTCAAGACCCACATGGAAACCTTTCGAATGTGATTTCGACATACAGTAGTCCAAAAAATCATATTCTCCGAAATTCATTTGGAAAAAAATTTGAGAATATTTAATTCCGAAAATCTCTGTCACTAGCGAAGTTATATTTTAGGACCACAAAATTGTATGTTTGATAATTTATTCAAAAAAAAATTATATTTCGCAGTGACTATATCTTTGGAACGCCTCAATGCACCTTCAACCTGTTTTATTTGTTAACAGAACATTGAGCGTCTCTTTTTCTCTGCCTCTTATGGTATTTCGCAATAGATATAAAAGTTGTATGATACACAGACAGGCTAGTCGATGTGTCTTTCTCGGCAGGTTTCGCCCTTCCAAATCCCGTTTTATGTTTCAGAATCGAGTGAATGAGGTGTTCGAGTTGCTTCTTCGCGAGATAGAAATCTCGCGCGGAAATTTGAGGGGTCCTCCACAGCAACAGACAAAGGAACAAACTTCTTCAGACCCTAACGACCCAAAGAACTGCGTCATCTCATAAGGAATCCCCTACTTCTCCATATTGTACATTTTTATTATCAATCTACAAGCAGAATGTGTTTTTTTGTTTCATATTCTATCAATGTCGTGTCTTGCTGCTGAATCAACAATTCAACGTTTCCGTGTCCTCCTAGCTGTCTCAAATCCGCTTAGATGCGATGTAAGATAAAGAATAGATGAAGAAGACGTGGCTATTCTTCCTCCTTTGGAAGAGGATATAGGCAGATTGTCTTTGTAATTTGAATTTGAACAAAACCTTTTTTTTAGAGTTTTTATTTTCATGTACTTCATATCTATTTACCGATAGGCCTTCTTCTGATCTCTATTCTTTTTTTTTGTTCATCGCACTTATACACAATTCTGCACACCTTTACCAATTATCCTTGCCTTTTACCGGTTTTGCATCCCAAAGTGATTCATGTAAAATGGCCAATTCATACCATTCTCTCTAATAATAATCGTTTTCTAGGGAAATTTCCTTATACGGCGCATGGTCCTCTATTATGTCAAATCTCAAACAATTCTTTGCCGTCGTGAATATATACCCACTTCCGGTTTTTTCTTAATTTTTTTTGGTTTCATTTGTAAGCTTTCATCCTGTATTAATAACTTTATAATTTTGTTTCCGGTTCTCTACATTTTCTCTTGTATATACAGAAGCTACGGCTGCTCACACGATTGGCACTTGTAATAAATCGAAGCTTCCTATTATAATCCCCTTTTCTTGTTTTTTTTACTATTATGCCTGGTCGCTAGCCTCCTTTTCGTATCGTTTCTCTGGGCGACCGGCGCATTCTATCACTACTTATTTTCAGATGATGACAGGCTCGTCAGCTTCTCCTCCCGAGCCTTCCGCCCCGTCACTGGAGCCATCCTTCTCGGCGCCACCTCATAATGGTCCGTCTTTTTTTTAATTTGACACGTTTGCCAGCTCACCTAGCTTGCTGCATTTTTATAAATTTATTGGTTTTCACCGATAAAACGCGTGTGAAAAAATTAGGGGAAGAGTAAACAATGAATTCCTATTATCGTTTTGAAGACGCTGCTGCCGCCGGTACACCGAATAGGGACTCAACGGACACCATGAGCAGAATACCAACAGGAATCAAACTTCCGGATGCAGTTGCCAAGTGAGTCAAAAAATGTTTTTAGAAATGGTAAAAGTTACTGTAAACGTGCTGAAATTTTTCTTTTATCAGTAATTGTCATTGCACGCCTCCCACAGAACAATTCCGAACTGCAAATTAATTTTTGATCTACAGAAAAAAAGTTTGGCGCGATCACAATTGCAGGTCTAAAACCATAATTTCAGAATTTTTTGACACTCCACCGATTCCGAGGAAGGGGTTGTCTCCGAGGAACCGATTCCGAGGAAATCGGGGCGGAGTTTCAATTTTTGCAGTGCAGTGCTGCAGTTGAACCGTGCG